CTCGATGAGAGAGCGAGACTGATAACCAAAATTGCTCTATATTCACTATGTATTTTCCGTTTCCTTGTTTAAAAACGGGACAAATGAGAGCATTTTTAGAGAAAGGTGGATCTTTGCCGGAAACAATCGAAGAATGAAAAATGTGTTGCATTTGAGGAGCGATGACATCCGCGGAACGTTTCAGAAACTGTAATGTAATCGTCATTTGTCGATGTCGTGTTATTTAGTGTAACTTTTGACACTAACACTTCCAAAGAAGGAAGAGGTGGTAATTGATGAATAGGTTTAGGAGAGGGACCCTTGAAAAGAGAAAAAGAATTTTGGAGGTGTTGGCTGAAATGTTGTGCCTTGTCCTTACCCTCGTTCGCGATTTTAATATTGTTATTAGACAACTCTAGAGTAACTGTTGCCGGTATGTTTCTCTGTTCATGTCGAAACTTATTTATTCCTGACCAAAATTTTTTTCGGGTCTTTAAAATGTGAAAGCACGTCTGACCAGGATTGCGCTTTTTCAGCACGAATTTGTTTGAGGACCTTTTTCCCAAATATTTTAAAAACTACAATTTGCCCGACTGACTATTTCTTAGATCTCTTCAGGCGTTGCCAGACGGCATTCGTGTTTTCAATTAAATACTGAAGAGAATGAGAATGTTTCTCTTTCTTATGCTTGTTTTTGTTCTTATTTACAAGTTCGAAATGAGCAAAATGTCTAAACTGTTTGCCGTAACCGTTCACCAGCTATCAAATCACAGTCATGAAAACGAAGCAAAACTGTTCACCGATGTTATGAACATTTTGACTGAGAGACCATGCCAGTCGCAATTTTTATAATCACGACCAAGAATAGGTGGGTCTGTTTCTCGTTTGCATGAATAGTAGAAGAAAGCTTTACAATTACTTGTGGATGTTGTAGCCGTTGTTGAGGTTGTGGCTGAAAAGAAAAATAATGAAATTGAAATCTATAACGTGGTCAAAAGAGTAAAGTTCTTATGCTTAAAATAGAACTTACGCGTGCAGCGTTTCTTTTTCTTTTTCTGTATGCCACATATACGTATTCAGATGTCAATTGATGGGCATGTGCAGAATGGACGAAAGCAAAAAAGCTTTTTTCGTTCTCTTTGCTCTTATGCATACGATGAGTGACACTATTGTGATTATTCTTTTCTAAGAAAGTAGGAGATTCACTGTAAGTAAATTGGTTTAGACGCAACTAAGATACGTGATTTAAATGTGGATTGTATCTCAGTTGAGACGTTACGAGTAAATTAAATAAAAGATTAGTCTTGATATTGCTTTATAGTTTTCTGCTATTTTTACTACTCTGCTACGTGCGTTTTAACTAATAAAGTTATGGTCATGAAGAAACATTACTGGTCTGCCACTTGTATATATCCTGTCGCATATTAACTATTCAAGAAGAGTAAATATTTGTTGCTACTTAGTTTCTATTTCTTTAATCAGATTTGAATAGAAGATGTTCTCTATATACAAAAATTAACTTGTCTGTTAGTAAACAGGTAAATTAATACAAGTAAACTAAATCCTGTATTCAAAAATATCACACCTCTATTACATTAGAAATTGCCTGAGTGTCATTTGGAAATGTTTGTATAAATAATTAGATGAAAGCGCACTGAGTACGGAGAAAAATGAAGGAAAACGTTATTAAATACCTGTGCATAATTATTACAGAAAGAAGAAGAAAACTTTTTTTCGTTTCGTCTCTCTCGAAATAGATAGGGAGAGATGTTCACCGTTACAGATAGTTGTATCAGTAATTTCTTTACGTTTAAAAATAAATTAGTTCAGCTTTTTATCACTAAGCATTTATCCGTATGTGCGTGTGACATCAGTAACACGTTTGTTCGCTATTTTGACAGTTAGAGAAAATCTTTGTCATGCAACACAATGGCAGGCTTTCCAGTATATACGGCAGTTTGTTTAATCATCTTTGCACGACCTACAAACAAAAGTAGTATTTACAAGCTGAAGAGAAATTTTGTTTTTGTAAACGTAATAATTTGTCTTTATCAACAAAAAAAATTTAGCTCTTTATTGAATATCGACCAATAAGTATATGAATTGTATGATCTTTTTACAACAACTGAAAACCGCCTGATACTCTCTACTCTATTATAAGTAGACTTCTCTTGCTTCCTCTCATCACATTCTAACAGGATAGAGTAGTGAGAGACTGCTAATAAACTTCTACATCTTTCAGATAAAATAAACGAAAAAAAAATGTATCAGACATTCTACTGGTTGGTGCTTTTAGTTTTCTCTTTTATCTGCTTTATGTTGTATGTTTCTGCTATTTTATCTTATCGTTATCTTCTTTTTTATCTGTGTATACTCTGCGAGTCATCGCTGAAGCACCAATAATACACAAACGTCTCTTGCTACGGCAAGAGATGACTCATCCGCGTACAGAAGAAAAACATTCTTTCTCGTGCATGTTTTTACCGAACGTGTCTTATGTTCACGTATGCGCCAAAAGAAGCGCCGCACGCTAAAGTTCCAATGAAACTTAAACCATGTCGGTTTTAATGGAGAAAGAATCAGTTCGATAGCTAGTTTACTTTTCAATTTACATGGCTCTGAAGCGGCTCGGATTATTGAAAATCTCCAACTTTGATCAGGATTTTTTCAAAACGGCCCGCCAGATTAGTCATTTAAAAACTTGGAGAACGTGCATCAAAAAACACTCACAATGTAGTGTGTTGGCTATAGTAACAAAATATTTGAGACAAAATAAGCCGTTATACATCGAAGTCACACTTTGTTAAACCTACTAGATTATATTAGATTTTATTCAGGCAGGATGTCACAAGAAAAGATGAAAATACTTGTGGCATCCGTGGATACCTTGTGATAACCTAAACTAAAAATTTTAAGCCAAAAAAAATAAATAAATACAAAAGAAGAAAAAAGTGTATATAGCATTATTAAAAGCCTGCATAATCGCTCAGCATATGTTTGAATGTTGATAAAGAAGATTGACACGCTACAACAGAAGGTGATTCCAATCTTTTGATGTTCGGGAAAGAAAAGAGCTAGATACAGATTTTGACTTTAAACGAGGAATAAACACGTGACTATCATGGCCTAATCGAGAACTTTGATGCGTAGTTAACTGTGAAATCAAATCAAGAGAGGAGAGAGGACTTTTATGATTGAGAATTTTATAGAAATAGAGAAAGCGATAATATAGACGTCTGTGTGAAAGTGGCTGAATTTTAAATTGTTTGAGAGAAAAGAAGAACTGCAAAAGTCTTGTGAAATGATTCTGCCAGCAAGACGCTGAATTTTATCCAAAATATGAAGATGAGAGGTGAAAGTGGAATCGTAGATAACACAGCCGTATTCAAGCACGGATCTTCCACAAGTTTTATACAGATGACAACGAAGAAATGAAGGCGACTCACGAAAGACTCTTGAGATAGAGCCTAACATTTGACGAGATTTCACTGAAACATATTCAATGTGAGCTTTCCATGTCAAATTCTTGTTAGTATTGTGATTTTTGCTAAGGTAGTTGGTGCGACTGAGATGAAAGACAAATGAAATCGGATGTCTTAAGAGCATTATGTTATGTCATAAAATCGATATTGTTAAAAAAACTTAATTTATTATTATTCTGAAAAACCATGAAGGTATTTTAATCATGCATACTTCTCGTTGTTGTTGTAGTGCTAGTTGACGCTAAAGTCAAATTATTTGTGATATCTCAAAATAGAACAAAGTTTGGACTCCTCTCATCCTAACAATCAATACCTGTTGTTGATGTAGAACTCGTCGTTGCAGCTAGAAGAAGAATACAAATCATTTTAAATTTATTCATACTGCTGCATTCTCTTTACATGATAGAGCGATGCATTTTAGTCTAGCAGACGACGCGAAAACAACTGGATATAAAAATCGCAGGTAACGTAATGATAGTTTTGAAAGCATATATCATAAGAGCGCTATGTGATAGAGACTTTGAGTTTTACGATGAAAAGTACTTAGACTATAACGGTCATTCCCTTTGTAAATTTTGCTGATGAGTTGCCACTGTCGGTGTTTGTTTCATCTAGGTAACAGCACGACCCAAACTAACATTTCCACTTCATTTGATATCAACATTCAACATCGTTCTCTTCCCATTTTCTCTTGGCCCTACGAAGTTGCTACGTCTCCCATTCCTGATGTTAACATGAAACTACTATCACCTGCTCTAGTCGTAAATAAACGAACGTTTTCTATAAATCGAGAACGACGAGTTTAGAGCCGAAAAAGATTTCTACCCTTTGACCACAAGCGTTCAAGTTTTACTTTTATCGATAACGACGGAGACCGTGAAGCAAGCCTATCCTCAAGGACGAACGATAAGGAATAAAAATGTTTCGTGATTATTCGAGAGGCGAGACGTTAAACAGCGTTTAACGGCTCTTGTCATCCGCAAACATGGATGTAATTGTCTGGGAATCAAGAATGTCGAATAGCCGGTTTATGAAGAGTAAAGAGCAAAGTGGATCCAATAAACTCCCTTGAGGAAAAAATCAAAGGTAATAAGAAAAATTTCACAAAGAATACCATCCACTTTGACTTGTTGAGTTTTATTGCCAAGATACGAAGAGAACTAGGCAAATCGATTTTCTTAACTCCTACTACCTGAGCTTGGTAAGTAGGATCTGGCAGGGCACTCGATCTAATCGTAAGAGACTCGGACAGAGCGCACAGGAACTCTTCTATCCATCATCTCAAAATTTGGAAAGAATTATTTTTGTTTAAATGGTTAGCGTGTTTGTTAAAAACGAGTTTCTCAAAAACTTTGCTGATATTTGAGATAAGAGAAATAGGATGATAATTCCCCACGTATTGTTTATTTCCTTTTTTAAAAACGGGACAAACGGGAGCATTTTTAGAGAAAGGTGGAACTTTGCCGGAAACAATCGAAGAATGAAAAATGTGTTGCATTTGAGGAGCGATGACATCCGCGGAACGGTTCTTAGGTGATCTTAAATTAAGGTATTTATACTACTTGTTGTTGATAGAGCAGGAGTGGTCATTGGAGGAACTGTAGTTGATCGTGCAGCTGTTGCTGTTTGAACAACGATTGTTGTTAGAGCGATGGTCGTTGTTAGAGGTGCGGTGGTCGATGAAGGAACCGTCGCTGATGCAAGAGGACTGGTCGAAGGAGTAGCCGTCGTAATTGTAGCGGCTGATGTTGTTGGAGCAGCAGTGGCGGATGGGGCAGCGGTCGTTGTTAGCGCAGTGGTTAGTGTTTGAGCAGTTGTCGATAGAGCAATAGTCGTTGATGGAGCAGCTGTTGTTGTTGCAGCGACGGTCGTTGTTGGCGCGGTGGTTAGTGGTTGAGCAGTGGTCGATAGAGCAACAGTCGTTGTGAGAGCCGCAGTGGTCGAGGAAGCAACAGTCGTTGATGTAGCGGCAGTGATCGAGGAAGCAACAGTCGTTGATGTAGCGGCAGTGATCGATGGAGTAACGGTCGTTGATGTAGGAGCAATCGTCGTGGATGAAGCAGCTGTTGTTGTTGTTGCAGGAACGGTCGTTGTTGGCGCAGTAGTTAATGGTTGTGCAGTGGTCGATAGAGCAGCAGTCATTGATGGAGCAACCGTCGTTGATGTAGGAGCTGTGGTCGATGGAGTAACGATGGTTGATGTAGGAGCAACCGTCGTGGATGAAGCAGCTGTTGTTGTTGCAGCAGCGGTCGTTGTCGGTGCAGTGGTTAGTGTTTGAGCAGTGGTCGATAGAGCAACAGTCGTTGATGGAGCAACCGTCGTTGATGGAGCAGCTGTTGTTGTTGCAGGGACGGTTGTTGTTGGCCCGGTGGTTAGTGTTTGAGCAGTGGTCGATAGAGCAGCAGTCGTTGAGAGAGCCGCGGTGGTCGAGGAAGCAACAGTCGTGGTTGGAGCCGCAATGGTCGATG